GAGACTCAACTGAATTCATCTGATTTTTAACAGCATCTAGCGAAAGTAAGAGTGTCCTGAAAACTGGAAGCAGGGCGTGGTCATTCACGTGGCAATCGTTCTGTCTGCGCCAACTACAGCGGGATCACGCTTCTGCTTGTACCGGAAAGGGTATTCGAGCGAATCCTCCTTCGAACACTGAAGAACTCAGTTGACCAATCGCTTCGATCAAACCAAACAATGTTTCGAACTGGATTCTCATGTACGGATATCATCGCCATACTATAGAAGATAGTAGAACAGGGAAAGAGCTTCCAACTATTTTGGTATGTAGCATCTTTCGACTTCTGAGTTGTTTTCGGCTTTGTAAACCGCCAGTGCGCATACTGTGACCCTATGGATGATCGCAGATGATGATCGTTCTGATGAACGGATTGTTCAAGGTACTAAAAACGCCATCAGCGTAGGAGTCGTTGTCCGACTGGCTAAGCATAAGCAGTGGAGTGCGCCAAGGAGAGGTGCTTTCACCTCTATTACTCAATATGGTGGTGGATCATGTGATGCGGAGGAGCGTTGTCACCAACAGATTATGACTCAGCCGAAGGTACTCAGCAGTACTCATAACAGATGTCGAGTACGCTGACGACATTGCACTGCAGAGCGACTCCGCCAAAGACTTGCTGGCACTAACTCGAGAGTGTGTATGATGGCTTCAACGGTGGACTTAGAAGTTAACTTCACCAAAACGAAGATCTTGCGAACAGTCGACTCGACTAATGACCCAAAGATTCAGTGGATTGAAACGAGCATTGAGGAGGTCGAAAATTTCAAGTGCCTCAGTTCTGTACTAGCGAGAGATGGTAACTATGACATGGAAGCGCGTAGGAACGGCATCTGTCAGATTCCGCCGATTTTCTAAGTTGTGGCAAGACCGATCACCATATAAAATGCCGCAGACTTCTCACTCCTGATGCAAAGCATTGAAATATCAAACCCTTTAAAATGCCAGGCAATAATGGTGTACACTTTTCAGCAACGCTGACTCTGTAGCACACCGGGATTGCGATGGTTCCATCGAGTAAAGAATGAAAAGATCTTGACGACGAACTGTTTGAGAAAGTTGTCTTAAAAAATCAGGGGCCGGCGTCTGCTGCGGTTTGACAGAACTATCCGGTGAGAGAATGAAGCCTTATTCAAAATCACTCTCCTTTGGGAAGGAAAGGATGGTCGCAGGATTAGGACGAACACCTGGTCAGATGTGTTTCATCCAGGAAGAATGCGACTTGTTCTTCTGGCAACTTGGAGCCAGTTATTCCGCGGCAACTCTTTTCTAGCACTTTTACGTAAACTTTACCCAGGGGACTCAATAAAGCAATGCCGAAATAACTAGAGCACTTCTTAAGGTCTCCTTTCTTGAACAGGGTACAACAACCCGCGTTCTCCAGTCCATTTCTGTGGTCTACGTAGTCATTGCAGTTCAACTAACTCGTGTAGGCTTGCTCATGCCTTGCTCACTTAACGCTATAAGCACTTTAAAGGCAGATTTCATCGCTTCCAGGAGCCGTTTCACATTTCGAGTTTTTCACAGCTTGTGTAATTTCATGTTCAGACATACGATTATCCGCTCTTTGCTATTCTACGGACTAGTCTTAAGGCGATTGCTGGAAGCTAGGCAGTTCCTCCAAGTACTCCTTCTATCGCCAAAGAATGTCCTCATTCTCGGTCAAAGGGCATTTCTTTGACATTTCTTTTAAGACCTAAGCACTGGCCCTCTTTTAACTCCGTAAGCGACGTGTGGTCTGCCAGAATACCTTGTTTGTTGTCTGAAAATTCTAATCCAGCACCTCATTCAATTTATCCCAGGAATCAGCTTTGGCTTTCGCCACTGTTTTCGTTGCCGCCTTGCGTGCCTCGACATATCGCAGACGAGTAGAAGGCTCCTTGTTTCCAAGCAATTTCTTGAACTCTGCTTTTTTCTCTTTAACTGCCAGTTGTATCTCTCGTGTCCACCATGAAGATCTTTTCTGACCTCCAGGCGGCAGGCCAACTCGTTTATATCCGCAGCATTCGGCGGCAGCCTCGAATCTGCAGCCCTTAAAGAGCTCCAACTCAGTTTCCACAACAGTGGTCATCTC